CAGGCGACCCAGCGATGGTGAGGCTGTTCGTCATGGCGTACGCTCAAGGCATGGAGGAGCTTGAGAAGCATGCTATGACGTGGGCGAGCGGCGTGTCCCCGTTCGAGGCGACAGGCAAGACGCAGCTCGCCATGGCGCTCTTCGTGGACGACGTGGCGGACTCCTTCCCGTTCGTGAACGTGGCTGACGCGGTGAGCATGGGGAAGCAGCAGAACGATCGGGTGAGCCAGGCGCTGGTCAAGATGGGCATGGCGCAGAATGTCGAGAAGCAGGAGGTGCTGATGTTCTGCGCGGGGACGGGAGCGTGCCAGACCGAGCGCACGCTGTGCGGCGACCAGCTCCTGCAAGGGCGCACTGCGACGGAGGCGAGGTACCTGGGCCCGAGATGTTCGGCGAGGTTCGCGGTGACACCAGAGATCGAGAAGCGCCTCACAGCCGGCAAGATCGCGTGGAATCAGATGGGCAACTTCTGGACATCGGACGCGCCGCAGAGATGGATGGCGATGTTTTCCAAGGGGTACGTGGTGAATGCGCTCTTGTCGGGGCTCGAGGCGATGGCGAAGTCGACGGGCCCGCTGGAGAGCGGCGACTTGGACAAGCTCGAGGGCTTCGCGGCGAGGCGCGCGAGGGTCTTGCTGCAGGGGGTGGCGTGGAAGGAGGGCGGCAAGACGCGGAGCTTGACGAACCTCGAGGTGCTGGCGAGGGTGAAGGTAGCAGCATTACATGTAGAGCTCCGAGTACGGCGGCTACGGTGGCTGCAACAGTCGCTGAAGAATCCGGAGGACGGGAGGCAGGTGCTCGCGGCGGTGTTCGGCGAAGCCGAGTTCGCGGGCAAGATGGTCGACGCCGAGATTGAGGCGCCTGTGTGCCCGTGGGCCCGTCAGTGGCTCCAGGACGTGTCCCACCTTGCTCGGTTCGACGGCGGACTGGCACTGCTGGAGAGAGTTGAAATGTCATCGTCACGAGTGCTCATGGAGGAGAGGGAGGATTTCGTGGAGCTTGATGTCGGGGGGATCCTCTCGCATTCTTTTACCCATCGTGCTGAGTTTGAAAGGCGTCGAAACAAACCTTCGGATAACCTGGAGGGTGAGGGGAGTTTCAGATGTCGGGCCAAGCTGGAAGATGGAACACAATGCAAATCAGTTTTTCAGAGCAAGCAGCAGCCAGCGCCCCACTATGTTCACGCGCGTGGGGGAGAGCACGGAGGGATGGCGATGGCAAGGGTGTGTTGTCTGACGAACCAGTGCGCGATATGCAGTACGATATTCTGTTCCAGGGCCCAGGCTCATAAACATATGCAGGTGTCGACGCGGAAGGGGAGATGCATCGGAGACGAAAGCAGGAGTGGCGGGGAGATCAAGGCGGGGCTCACGGTGTGTCGGTTGTGTAGTTTCGGTTCGGACGATTTCCGCGTGCTACGGGAGCATACGCTGACCGCGCACTTGGCACCGTATCTTGACAACTTCGAGATAGAGTTTGAGGTGGAAGAGAGTTTAGACCTGCTCGGAGATGAAGTGGCTCGTCTCAGAAGACTCGAGCGAGACTCAGCCGCCACCGCAGCGCAAGCAGAAGGACCTGGAGGAGGACGTGGCCTTGAAGCGGCTGGTACACCAATTGGAGACTCGGGTGAGGACGCTCGAGCACGTGAATGCGACGCAGGTGTTCGTAAAGAAGGACCACGAGCTGATCACGGTCGCGAAGAACATCCTGAATCAGTACGACGGGAAGGTGAAAGAGGCAGGGGGCGGGCATCAGTTCGGACCTCCAGAATTGCAAGTGCTTGGAGGGATTCTTCCCGCCTGCGAGACTTGGTTGCAAGAAGAATCGTGCCCGCCCCAGTTGAAGATATACCGAGGAGTGTGCCCGAGGCTGATGGCGATGATGAGGCACTCCGACCCCGAGGATGTGGCGGGCTGGGTGAAAGAGTTCACGCTCTCCCCGACGTACGAGGTCGGCACCGTACGGATCACGTTCGCGATGTTCGGCAACGTTCTGGTGGCCCACAACGCGGAGGTGGCCAAGCAGCTGGACAAGCAGCAGGCAAAGGCTTGGGGCGGAGTGGCGACCGACGACATGTACGAGAGTTGCTTGCAGAGGTCCCCCCTCGAGACGCCCCACATCGAGAAGATGAAGGCCGTGAGCGTGCAGCTGGTGATGTACCAGATCATGCGCGGCTGGGGCGCGACGGCGAAGGCGGGGCGCGCGCCTCGGGGCGCTCTCGCGCGCTGCCTGGAGCAGTGAGAGGGAGGGGCCGAGGTAGGGGTAGGTGGGCTAATGAAAGACGGGGCTCGGGGTAAGCGGCCCTGGCCCGTTCGGGCACGCGGCGGGTTCGTCTTCTTCCGCTCGTCCTCCTCGTCGGTCCTTTCGCCCTTCTCCCTCGCCGCGTGCGTCCGTCGCCGTCGCCTCCCGCGGTTCGCTCGCGGTCCGACGGTGCCGTGTCTCGTGCTTTTCCGAATGGTGCCGATTGTAGGCTTGCCCCGAGCTTGGAGATGTGAAGGATATGGCCGCTCGAAGGGGGGAATCAGAATCAGGAGGGGGAGGAGGAGGAGGAAGGAGGAGGAGGAGGAGGAGGAGGAGGAGGAGAGGAGGGAGGAGGGGGAGGGGGAGGAGGAGGAGGGAGGAGGAGGAGGAGGAGGAGCCGAGGAGGAGGAGGAGGAGGAGGAGGAGGAGGAGGAGGAGGAGGATGAGGAGGAGGAGGAGGAGGAGGTGGAGGAGGAGGAGGAGAGGAGGAGGAGCAGGAGGAGGAGGAGGAGGGGGGGGAGGGGGAGGAGGAGGAGGAGGAGGAGGGGAGGAGGAGGAGGAGGCGGAGGAGGAGGAGGAGGAGGAGGAGAAGGAGGGAAGACGGGAAGGGGGGGGGAGTACGGAATCTGCCACATGCTGCCGGTTTCTGCCCCCCCTGCCAGGCGCTCTCCTCGATACGTGCGCGTGTCCGGTGCCAGGAGGCGCGTGAGCTGATTCGCCAACCCCCCCTCTGCTATCCCCCCCCTTTCGCGCGACCCGAATGCATGGGCCGGGGGGAGCGACGGAGGTCAGGAGCGAAAGAAGGAAGCTCACGCACATGAGTCCACACGAGCCTGCGGCCTCAGGGGCCCGGGCCCTGGTGCCCGTCAATTTTCGGGCGTTCGTAGAAGGTGGGTTGTCCCAAGGTGTTTTGGTCGTGGCGCCCAGTTCCAAGCCTCCAATCAGAGACGCCCGACTGCGAGACGCCCGACTCCCGCACGGAGTGCGGCAGGCGGCAGGTTCGCGCCGCCTCGGCGAGGGGAGGGGGTGGCATCGACCACACGCAGGTTGTGGCCCAGCGCAGGTGAGAAAAAAAGTGGGTTATCCCAAGGTGGGGCCGAGGGACGGACCCATCTGGATGCTCACATGTCCAACGCTTGCTTCTGCTAGGGGTCGACTGGAGCGATTTTCCTCCAGCCCCTCCTGCCCCGACCCCACCTTTGCGTCCCTCCGACTCGCTGTGCCGCTACAGTGAGCGGCTTGAATAAGAAACACTTACTTTTCAAAAGGGGCTCGGTCGTTCCTTGGGCTTGAATGCGTTATGTATCGTTCCCGATGCGTTGTGTATTATGTATCGTTCCTTATGCGTTATTGCTTGGAGAAGAAAGGGTTTCGTTCCTTATGTATCGTTCCTGAGGTCAGGCCGGTGACTTTATGCACATCCCAAGAACGTCCAACAGAAGCTTGCCCCTCGGCGGCGCCGGAGACGACGCTTCCCAGGCCCTGGAGCTCCCCGCGGGAGAGGCCCCCGAGGAGCCTCCACAGAGCCTCGGCCATCGACCGATCGACCCTGCACCGAGGATGGCCCGTCCGCCTCGATCGATGCAGCGGCCCGTCGGCCGAGGACCGACCGGTCGAGAGCCGATCGATCTTCGGCGCAGCGATCTCCGACGCACCGATCCTCTGCGCCTACCCTTGAGTCGGGCACGTACGCCCCTCTACAGGAGGAATATGCAAAAATACCCAAAATAGTCTGGGGACGATGTGTTTACAATGTTCCGCATGTTTGGAGTATGTTGGGGGGGGATGTTTTATGGTTCGTCCGAACTCCCCTTGTAGGGGGACACGCTCGACCTAACCCTACCCCACCTTTGCGTACCTCCGACTCGTCGTGCCCATCCCAGGAACGTCGAACAGAATCAGGAGGGAAAGAAACACACAGACACAATTAATCGTCGATACCCCAAAAAACATAGGAAAACATGGGAAGTGGGGGCACCAGAAAATATAGGAAAATATGGGGAAATGTTTTTTGTGTGTGTGTATTTATTCGTGTGTCTCAAGGCCCCTTCACAGAAGAGGAGCCTGCTCCCCGGCGGGGCCGGAGGCGGCGCCTCCGAGGTTCCCTGGAGCTCCCCGCAGGAAAAAGGCCCCCCGACGAGCCTCCACGGAGCCTCGGCCCTCGACCGATCATCAGCCGAGGACCGATCTCGGGCCAGACGAAAGGGGGGGATAGGGAAAGGGAGGGTACGAAATTTGCTGCATGCAGCTGGTTTCGGCCCCACCGAGGGGCCCATTCCTCGATACATGGGCGCCTCCCGGCGCCGGGAAGCGCCGGGAAATTCAGCTACGTGAGCTGATTCTCAACCCCCCCCTTTGCTATCCCCCCCTTCCGCCCGACCCGACGATCGTTCCTCGACGCATCGATCCTTGTCCGATGCATCGGCGGCGGCGGCGGGCAACGGCGCGGGAAAGGCCCCCCGAAGAGCCTCCACGGAGCCTCGACCCTCGACCGATCCTCGGCCGAGGACCGATCGATCAGGAATCGATCGATCCTCGGCGCATCGATCCTGGTCCGATGCATCGACGGCGGCGGCGGGCAACGCTGTGGTCTCTCCACGAACGAAAACAAGTCCCGCGTGGTGGTGTGCTGCGGAAAAAACGGCGCTCTCGTGATGAAAGCTTCCAAGTTCCAGAACCCGGTGAATATAATCGCGGCGGCAGGCGGCGACCGCGGCGGCGCTCGGCGCGCGGCGACGGCGCGCCCCGCCGCCGCTCAGTGCTGGCGGTCGGCCCAGCGCAAGACGCGCAGATCGACGCGCTGACGGGGCACCTGCGGCCGCTGCCCGACGCGCTGCGGCGCGAGAACGAGAAGCTGAGGGCCGCACGCCCCGCGATCGAGGCGGAGGAGGAGGAGGAGGAGGAGGAGGAGGGGGAGGGGGAGGAGGAGGAGGAGGAGGAGGAGGAGGAGGAGGAGGAGGGGAGGGAGGGAGGAGGAGGAGGAGGAGGAGGAGGGGGAGGAGAGGAGGAGGAGGAGGAGGAGGAGGAGGAGGAGGAGGAGGAGGAGGGGGGAGAGGAGGAGGAGGGAGGAGGAGGAGGAGGAGGAAGAGAAGGCTGAACGGCGCCTTTCTCACCACTCACCAAACCACCAAACCACCTCAACCCAACCCGAAGGCCTCAATTTGACCTCCATTTCCAGTGGGGGGGGGTCGGGGAACATCGAGAAAACACATATGGAGCCCGTACCCCCCCCCAAACCCGAAATTCGGGTCTTCGGGTTGGGTTGGGGTGGTCTGGTAGGTAGTCACTTTCGGGGGCCTGCCCGGGTTCCCAGGCCAGCGTGGCGAGAAACGCAGGGCGGAGGGCAGGCCAGCAGCGACCAACCTCAGCACGCCCCCCTATCACCAAGGGCGCGCCCTCGAGGGCGCGAAGCTCTTCGCGCTTCGCAGTGCGTCTCCTCCGGTGCCTCGTCGTCCTCCTCTGCTCCCCTGGGCGGCGGCGCGAGAGCGCAAAGGGATTCGCGCAGCGCGAAGTCAGGCGCCCCTGCATCACCGCAGACCTTGTTCTAACCCGCGCCGATCGAGATGGGGTGCTCTTCAGCAGCTGCGCCTCGCCGAAGACATTCCAGGGATGCCGGACTCGTCCCAAGCAACCGTCGGGGGCCCCCAAACGGGGTGGTGACCACACCGTGCGGTGAGTCGGTGGGGATTCGGGGTCACCGCACGGTTTTGAGACTCGGGTCGTTCTCCGAGGACGTCTCGGGCGGCTGGGGCCTCTGGGGTCCCAAGACCGTGCGGTGACGGACCGTGCGGTGCGGCTTTGGTGGATTTCGAGGTCACCGCACGGTCTGTCACCGCACCATTTCGGGACTCCCAAAGCTGTCCACGGCTGTTCTCTCGCCTGGAAACCGACATCTTCGCGGCGAGAAGGGCAATCACGCTGGAGGTCGGAAAGGAGTGTGGCACACAGGGGTGTGGTGCCAATCGTGGAAATGGCGATGCTATCCACGATAAATGACCTCGCCAGCATTGGCACAACACCCCTGTACACCACACCCCCTTCCTACCCCCAGAATCACGGCGGAGGCCCCTCGGACCATCAGGCAGTGGCTCTGGATGCACGAGCGGTCCTGGGGAAGGGGGTCGAGACTTCCAGGGACCTCCAGAGGCCCCGAAGCTCAAGGCCGCCCTCCCCGCTCCTTCAGGGGTCTTCGCGGGCTCCCCGATATCCCGCATACCATTAAGTCGGGCCTGTCCCTCTACAGGGGCACTATTCAAAAATAGTCCAAAAATAGTCGGGAGACAATTTGTTTTACTATGTTTGAGCAGTGTTGGAGTATGTTTGGGGTATGTTTGATTTTTCGCCCAAAATCCGCCTGTAGGGGGACATGCCCGACCTAAGCATACCAGTAGCTGGGTCTCTCAAGTGAGGTCCGAGCAGATGGGGTCGGAGGATCATGCCGCATCACCGATGCATCGGCGATGTGGTTCGATGTGGAGTCCGAATTCCTCCTCGCTGACCTCGCCGACGCATCGCCGACGTCGCCGATGCATCGCCAATGCATTGGCGATGCATCGCCAGTGCATCGGCGGTGCATCGGCGATGCGGCGCGATCCTCCGAAGACCCACTTGGCTGGACTCTACTATTCGGGGGTCTTCGCGGTTGTCCAGACAAACCTCCGACGTTTTAAGTTGAAGACTTCGGTCACATCGTTTCCGGGTTTTCGCCACCCGAGCACGCGCAGGCCGTGCCAGGACGTTCCGATTTTGGTCACATCACGTTTGTGGTTCGAGTTGTCCGCATAGAGCATTTGTCATGTTGCGTGCTTGGGATGTTTCCAGGTTGCATACGCGCTTACGTCCGCCGGCGTTGCAGACCAACAGTTGTATCCAGCGATTGTTCAAGGGGGCACGGGAGGCCGTCACGTGGGCCACCTCGTGTGTCCAGGGTTGGGAGAGCCGTGATTATGATGATGATGATCATCATAATGATGATAAGGATGACAAACATGAGGATGAGGGTGATGCTGTTGATGATGATGATGAAGATGATTATGATGACGATGATGATGATGATGACGATGATGATGATGATGATGATGATGATGATGATGATGATGATGATGATGATGATGATGATGGTGATGATGATGATGGTGGCGGTGGTGGCGATGGCGATGGCGATGGCGATGGCGATGGCGATGGTGATGGTGATGGTGATGGTGATGGTGATGGTGATGGTGATGGTGATGGTGACGGTGATGATGATGGTAATGGTGTGATGATGAAAAATGGTGAAGAGGATGTTGATGATGATGATGTTGATGATGATGATAATGACGATGACGATGGTGATGATGAGAATGATCATGGTGATGGTGATGGTAATGGTGTGATGATAATGTGGATGGTGATGGCGGTGGTGATGATGATAAGGAGGAGGAGGAGGAGGAGGAGGAGGAGGAGACGGAAGGAAGAGGAGCCGTCACATGCGTCATTGTTCGTCTTCACTACCTGAGGAGATCTCATGGAACTCGTGTGGGCCGTCTTGGGGCTGTCTTGGCCTCCTGTGAGGCAGTCTTGGAGGTCCCTCGTTGGCCGTCTTGGGGCCCTCGTTGGCCATATTGTGGGTGTTTTAAGACCGCCGTCTTGGGCCGTCGAAAGGCCCTCTAACGCCGTCGTGGGTCCCACGGGAGGCCCTCTGGGGTCTTCTTCTTCTTGCTCTTTGGGCCGTCTTGGATGCCTCCTGGATGCCTCTTGGGCCATCGCTGAGCCAAGTTGAGCCAAGTTGGACACCTGGATGCCTCTTGGATGCCTCCTGGATGCCTCCTGGATGCCTCTTGGATGCCTCTTGGGCCATCGCTGAGCCAAGTTGAGACATGATGCGGCCCTCCACGGCCGCCCTGGCCCGAGCGCTCTGCCGAGCTCCCGGACTTCCCTCCCAGGCCGATGCACGGAGCCGGCGCAGATGCCGCTCCGGGCGCGTCGCCAGATGATCACGCGCGAGCCGGCCGCCGGAGGTCCCAGCGGCGTTTGTTCGGCGTGCGGCGGTGGTCGGACAGAGCTCGGACGAGGATAAATCCTTGTGAGCGCTTTCTTACTCGGCGTTTCGACATTGGGCGGAAGGGGGGGGGAAGGGGGGGGTCTGGCTCCGGACCTCTGCTTAGTGAGACTGTTTGCAGCAGTGCGTCCTGTGGGGGAGGGGCTCCACCTGCTCGAAACAGGTGCCAGAGAGCAGCCAAGATCCACTCCACGGGGGGGGTGGGAGGGGGTGGTGCAAGGGCCCGCGCCGATCGGCAAAACAATTAATAAAACAACGATCACCTTTCCAGAGCGTTCGAGAGCTCTGAGAAGGCCGCGGCGCCCGAGACAGCATCCAGAACCGCTGGATCTCAGAGATTCTCGATTTCACGATTTATCTTTGCCCGATGTTATCCTCATCCTGGCTTTGTCTTAGGTGGATGTTCAACGAGGCGTCCGGCGCACACCCAGAGGCGACCCGGCAGCGGAGCCCGCTGACGAGGGCCGCGGCGGTGGCGCTGTTCGCGTGGTTCGTGGTGCAGCGGGCCGCGCACAATTTGATTGTCGACTTCTCCAGGGTGCCCATCTTGGCGGCGCCAATACAGTCGGGCCGATGTATCAGATCGAGACCGGTTCGGGGAGGGTACCCTAGTGTTCTTCGCGTTTGTTGGATGTTCTTGTGCATCTTGGGGAGGGTACCCTCGGCTGTTCTGTGTGTTTTGGCCGGCGGAGGTTTCTCGTGTTCTTGAGGGATGTTCTTCTGTCCCAGGTCCGATTGTAAGGGGGTCGCGCGAGAGGGGCGGCATCCTAGGAATCGAAAAACGACAAAAAGGATTGCGCAAACAGAAATTGTCGGAGCTCCGCGCGGAGTTCTGGGATCGGGGATGAGCGCCGCTGGCGGCGCTTCTGGCGCCGCCCCTTGCGCGCTCCGTGCGCCAGGGAGGGGGGCCAGGCGCTGATCTTAGAAACCCGCGCGGACCTCAAACAGTTTGCGTTTATGCCGCCTCTTGTCCCTTTATAAGAAGGCGGACGGATGTCTTAGAAGGCAGGGGCCTGCTTAGCAGGCCTTCTTCTTAGAAGGCCCCCCATGGGGCTTCTCAGAAGGCTCTTCTTAGATTACGTTGTATCTTCGGAGGACCTCGCCTGTCCCAGAAAACTGTTGTCTTTTCTTGTGCCCGACACGGATTCGACACGGATTTTGCGTGGATTCGACGCGAATTGGACGAGTCCGATTTGGATTCGACACAGAATTGACGCGGATAGGGGCGCGACAGGACCAACAAGGTGTTCCGAAGATGCAGCATCATTTAGAAGCCCACCCACCCCGCGTGCCACCCCCTTGCGGGCGCCGCCAACCATCTCCAGCGCCCTGGTCCACACAGACGAGTCGGCGATTGTCGGGTACAAGGTCGGTTGCGCCGTGCGCTTGCACGGGACCGGTGAGTGGTCTCCTAAGGAGCACTTCCACGCGAGGGTCGTGGACATCGCAGATGGTGGCGAGGTTGTCGAGGTCCGCTCTACACACACACACACACACACACACACGCACACACACATAACTAACATACGCACACGAGATTGAACAACGCATACTACAATTTCATGTCAGTGCACACAGGTTGAACATATATGCATATATATGTATATTCGAGGAATGAATATCAAGAATATAACTTGAATCTATCCTCCCCGCCAGTTTTCTCACCCCTCTACCTCCTCCAAATTCCTCTATTCATAATTTCCTGGTCTTCCTCTGCGCCTTCACCTCCTCTGCGCGAGGTCCGTTACAGATCAGACGGAGGGAAGAAGCGGTTCAGACGACTCGAGTTCGAAAGTCTGTTGACTCCCATGCCCGCGGAG